GGCTGTCGGGTAGGGTTGGCGGTGGCGTCCAGTTCGAAATAAAATCGTGCGTTATAGCATCCGCGGCAGTCACATGCAGGCGGGCGGACGCGGGCCCGCACCAGGGGAGGGAAAGGGTATCTCATGTCCACTTGGTAGCGTTCCGTGGGGAAGCGATCGTTATCTCACGTGACATTGACACTGCCGCGGGGGCGCGGGGAGGGCTGTAGGCCCGGCTTTCGGGGGCGAGGTTACCCGATCAGCCCACGCGGCCGATTCAGTGGCAGCCTTGAAATAAAAGAGGCGCGGAAGGGACCTTTAACCACTGGCATGCGCGAACGGGGGTGGCTGGGATGCTTTTTGCAGATTTCGTCGGTTATCATAAACGAAGTGCCGAGCTCGTATACAAGTAATATTTGTATTGTTACGTATGAAATAGCTCACATCTCACCTGTGGTATGGGCGCCCTGGTGCCCTACGGCTCGGGCCGGCCCCTCAGCGCGGACGTGACGTGCGGGGCCATGGCTGACGTGGTGCCGGTCCGGGCTGCAGCGGCGCCTGGTGCACGGCGTGCTGCGGCGTGTGCGGCTCGGGGTGGACTGGAGCGGGGCCGGGCGCCGGCGCCAGCCTGTGGCCCGCCGGGCAGGGTCGGCCGGCCGGGCGCCGGCACCCCAACCCCTACCAACTCCTGCACGCCCGCTTGGGGAGATATTTGTAGTTTTGTCATTGTAATATTGACTTAAAAGATAAATTATAAAATCCATGAAAAACTTTAAACAAAGGAGACTTAAACAAAAACGTAACCTTCCGCCTTTTGTGCTGAGGTATAAAATATAAACTTGTACTTTAACTAAAATGGCAACCCTTTGGTGGGATCATCCAGCAGGTATGTCCGTTAAAAGCTGTCAAGTTCAGCAAACGCAGCTGTCATGGCGCCTGATACGTAGGCAACACCAGACTCGCAATGCACGCGTGCACAGCGGGGTGGCCTACCCTGAGTCTCGCAGGCGCCAAGCTCCCGTAATTCAAACCGTATGAATCTGAAGAAAATGGACAATGACTTATTTTCAGAATAAGGACAGGAGGAATTGAAAATCGTCTGCTCCCGGACATTACGGGCATGCCTCGGCCGATCAGTTCAACTTTACACTTTTTATCAAATATCTAGTCAACACTTAAAAGTGTGCAACGTAGTTTTGATCATTTGCATAAAAGCTCTATTGTATACACGAATTAAGTGTGCGCTGTTCCTGGTCGCAAACACTACAACGCCATGCAGTAGTAACTTTAGAACGAAGGATTCACCCTGAAGAACTGAAGCGTTTATAAGTTCTCGTTTCGTGAGTAGACTAAGTATGGTAAATTTAACATGAAAACATGTGACGCAGTATAGCACCCAAAAGAGTGTGACACTTTCCACATGTAAAATAATGTGACGTCACATGAATCGATTAACAGTGCATATGGAACACGGCCGAGCACGGCAACCTCAGTTCATTGACGAACGTTTTGATCTGCAGTTGCAACTGTATGATTGTCCTGCCAGGTCGACTGCTGGAGGCAAGAAACCATTATGTGGTCATGCTCAATTGTTAAATCCCATAGGCACATCAAACGAGCGCTGCCGTAAATCAAGTAAATTAACAGCACTTTTCGGTATTGTTTGTAATCATTGTAAATTGTTCATCACAAGAAATGACGCAAATTTATAGATGTAGTACACTGTTAAGATCTCACGAAAGAGTATTCTTCGCACTAAATCTTTCACATTACCAACTGATTCTTTTCACCTTGCGAAGAAAATTGTTCGTAACGTTGCAAAGAGTTACCTTGAAAACTGGTACATACACGCAACTTGCGAAGAAAATAGTTTACAATGCAAAGGATATAGTCTGCAATGTAAACTTCCTTACAAAGCTTCAAAAGTCTTTGCAAGGAGTTTGCAGCCTATTCTTTACAGTGCAACGTGCAACACCTGGAGAAGACAAATTAGAAGCACGGGGTAGAGAAGTGGAGCGAGTGTATAGAGCGGAGTATCGCCGGCTGCACTACTCCAGCCGCCCGGAGCCTCAGCGTGGAGTATGGCCGGTCCGTCCGCTCCAGGCCAACAGGTGTCGCTGCGCTTGCTGCTCACGCTTTAGTCGAAGTTAGGTCTGGCGAATGGGTACTTACTACCGAGCGTACTTACTACACCTCCCCAGTGGGAGATTGTCAGATTTCAAACCGGCAAGAGCCTTCTCCTTCTTTTAATGCAATTTTTCAACATTTCAAATTACTTAACACAGTGATCGGACTTCCCTTTTTCTGCGTCGCAATCAAAAACATTCTCGCTGTTTTTATTTTCTTCATTAAAGAAACTGACAAATAGCACTTCCCCAAAATTAAAAGTAAATAACATTTGAGTCAAAGGAAAAAGCCTCTTAGCTCGAAGCCCGCCTCCTAAATGCCCAAAACCAACACCCCGTCTAACTGCAGACGTCTGGTAGGTTATCCCGCAGCCTGGACGGGCCAACCCTCCCCTTGCTGAGGGTTTATTATTAAATAACTACGTTAGGGAGGGGCCACACACACACACACACACACACACACACACACACACGCGAGCCCCCCATCTCCACAAACCTAACCCTCTCTCCGGAATGAATTGGACCGCGGCGAGCCTCATGACCAGCAACCAAAATAGTTTGAAGTA